TTCAATAAGCAAGTATAGTTCAATAAACAGACCTTAGTTCAAGAAGCAAAACATAACATACATACTTAAGATCCCATTGCAATGAGGTCCAGCACGGGCAAGCGGTCAGGTAGACAGCTTAGCCAAGTGGCCCTGAGCCCCTCCCAACAATCCTTTTTATTCTTCAAAGCCACAAACCACAATTATGACACCCAAGATGAGCTACTGTCCTTGGTGCTAATTTTACACCCCTTCCCTATTCCTTTCTCCTGCCACAGACCTTCTATCAGCACTTTACTTTGTCCATCTATTTCCTGGCTTCCTGTCCATGACTGAAAACTTTAGTCCACATAGCAACTTTATTTATTGCTCTGTAAGCTTGTTTTATTTGGTGTTGTCCATCTATTTTCTGGCTTCCTGTCCATGACTGAAAACTTTAGTCCACATAGCAACTTTATTTATTGCTCTGTAAGCTTGTTTTATTTGGTGTGAGCATTTATTGCTTTATAGCTAGTTTTATTAGTATGTTTGTTAATACATCATTTTTTTCCCCTCACACCTCTCTCTGCCTCCCTTTCAGAGGCAGAATCACTTTTCCAAATTAACCAGGGTGGAATTCCAAAAGCCCTGAGCCCCTTACTTTGATTCTGGCTCTCCTCCTCTTGAAGTTTTGGTGTGTCCCTTGAAAGGGGCCTGGAGCAGCCTAAGATTTGGGGGAGCGGAAGAGCACCAAAAAAATAGGGAGAAACTTCTGTGTTGTTTTTTTGAAAGGGAACTTAAAAGACAGCTCCAGTACCCCTCCCCTGAAGGGAGCAGCCCAAGATCAGTCAATTCAAAGCTGGCCATATGGAATTTCCTCGGACCCTCAATTTGCTGGCAGAGATTTTTCAGACTGAGTCACTGGGAAGGACTCAAAGTCCTTGTGGTTGAGCATTTTCCACGTTTGGAGCATTTCCCAAAATTCTTGGAGACGCTGCAGATGTGGAGTGTTAATTCCCTGCGTTAAGACTAAGTAGTGGGAGCCTTTCTTGCCCGTCAAGTTTCTCGTCCCCCTTCCGGGCTCTGGAGGGGCTCAGAGTTAATTCTGGGGGTGCCGTTTCTGCAGAGGCCCCAGTGGTGACGGTGAGCAGCAGGACAAAGGCCGACGATGGGATGGAAACTCACATCTGCCGCGTGGATGGCTTCTACCCCAAGGAGATCGACGCCGCCTGGAGGAGGGACGGGG